GGCACAGCATTAGCAATTTAGATAAACACAGGTTTTAACGTTTGATAGTTATTTAAATGTTTAAAAACTCCACAAAATATTAACCATGTTCACCATAGTCTATGAATATAGAATAAAGCGCAGTGGAAGCGTGCTGGGCTCATAACCTTTGTTAACCATGTTCACCATAGTCAATAAATATAGAATACAGCGCAGTACGTAATCTGTTCAATGAAACAACGTTAAAGATTAACACTCACGAGTCAGACACTCTACTGAATCTGACTATATCACCAATACAACCACCACCACCACCACCTGTTCTGTAATTCTTCAGTCTTCGATATCAAAGGCTGGCCGTGAGTATTCAGGGAAAAAAAACATGGTCGCCTTTAGACACGTCGCATTGAATATTTTGAGCCTTCTGATTGGTTAACCCTTCTATTGGTGAACTATAAAATGAGTCAGCTCATATTGGCTGGTTCACTAGCACCCAAAAATTCCAACACAAAGAAATTAAATTTAATGCTTGTTAGGAACTTAAATATTCAACTTCTCCACAAATAATTTAGGGATTTAATATAAGCCGAATATTATATTAATAAACAAAAAATTAAAATTCACTAATAGTAATATTTTAATATTGTGAATGACTGTTAATGTAAAATTTTTATCAGTTAGAGTCAATTCATGAATTTAATTTGTAGCTATATATATATATATATATATATATATATATATAACATAACATAATCGTCAACACTAGAGGTGACAGTCTGCTTCATGCTAGACGCAATCGTCAGGCCACGACGATTGCGCCTAACATGAAACAGGCTGTCATCTCTAAGTGTTGACTTCTCTGTTCACTTTTATATTTACACGCTCTATCTCTGATATTGAGCACTTTATCCCATAAATATAGCACACCTTAAGACTATACGTCTTATATATATATATATATATATATATATATATATATATATATATACGATAATAAATATCGGGGAGGCTAGCAAATTAAATGATAATAATAATAAATAATAATGGTAACACCAGTCCTCACGTAGCACATGGAATGATCTCAAGGTACCTATGAAAAAGTTCATGCATACTATTATTGAAAGCATATGTATAGACCATCCAGGCAACAGTATTGCTGAAAACAACAAGAATACTGTGGAGAGTTCTGGAATATTAAGGAAACTATTTGTTATTTGGTCCATTATAAGCCAACGAAATTTTTACGAAAACGTTTAGTTCCTAACTTGAATACAGCATTTGATAATCAGGCATTCCTTGGTAGAAATGCCATTTTTATTGAACCTAGAACAAATTAACCAAAGCGAGGCAAATTGGTATTACTTTCGTGTTTTTGTTGGTATTGGCGATGTTGACCATTCGTCGCAAAAAGGAACAACGTTAATAAATTTCCTCAATATCTTATTGGCTCACAAGATAGCAGTGATGCATAAGCATATTTTAACGGAGTAAGCAGTAATATAAACCAACACACACGGCTCTTGTAATACGCAATCTTATAATCCAATACTTGTGCTCATAGCCGACTGGTTTTTGTAAGTCTTCTGTCGATGTAATACGAATACCTTAAGAAACGGAAGAAATAAAATGAAAGGAAAAAACATTACAAGAGAAGAGGAAAAGAGATGAAGAAATACGACGAGAGAGTGTGACGAAAATAAACAAGGAAAGAAAAGGAATAGAGAGGTAAAGAAGGTGAAATTGCATTTTAAAGAAATGGGAGTGAAAATATTGGAAGAAATAGCCAATCAAAACCGGACAAGAAAGGGAGAAGGATGAGTTAAAAAAAAAAAAGAAAAAGTCAAGGGAGTAGGAAAAAAACAGAACTCTCCCTAAAATCCCATCGACAGAGAGAGAGGTGGGGAGAGAGAAAGAGTGTTAAAAGAAGAGGGAATCGCGGAAGAAAACGTAAAGCAAACAATCATTGAAAGACCAAAAAAAAAAATGGCAGACGAAAAAAAATCACAGAAAAGATATTTGAAAAGAAGCACTTTCGGTTATGGCGCACTGTAAGTCGGTCGGAAAGATACTGAGCACGTCGCTCTTTGAAAAAAATTGAAAACTTATATTGTTCATCAATCTCTTTCGTGAGTCCACGTTGACGGAACCGTTTACAAGAGAATATTCCATCTCGATTTATTGTTTTTTTTATTTTTATTTTTGTTTTTGTTCTGTTTTTTTTACAAGAGCGAACCTTCTGTCTGTCACTGACGCCTCAGAAGAAATACGTTTTTGTACATGTGTTTTCTAAATTGGGTAAGATTGTGGCAACGGCTGAAATGAAAGCCGACAAAAAAACTACTAAATGATAATGATTACGGTTATATTAACTGTTTCCTTATAAGGAAACAAGAGCAGCCAGTACTGCTACCGTTTGAAATTCATAAAATCTTTTTATTAAGGCAATTTTTCAAAAAATTAATTTTCTCATGTCCAGTGAGGGCTATCGCTTTATCTAATACCGATAAGGGTTTCCTTTCTAACTATTTGTTTGAAGTCGTGTGGAATTTCAACATCTTAATTATAACATTATTTTCTCTTCGGCTTACTCGTGCTATCCATTTTAGTTGTGGCAGATGTTGGACACTGACATTGTAATATATATCAAAAATAAGACTTTATCTTATGTTGAGCCATAAAAAAAAACGTTTTCCTTTAAAATCTTTATTCTTCGAACAATCAAGTCCAGTTACGTTTTATTAAATAATATATTCACCATTAGTAGAAAGGACTTATTGCCTCTCATCAAGAGCCTCTTTGATACCTATTGAATAAAATTCTACGGGATTTGACGCGAAAAGATTTTCGACAAACATTTGAATCCTGTTTTGTTTACAAATAAATTTTCCACATCACTGAATTTTGCTGCAATCGAATAGCTGATGAAATGTCAGCTGAATTTGACAGGTACAGTAGGATAAACCAATAAATGTTCTAGATTTTTCCGCTGTTATTCTCGTTGTATGTGGCCTCAGACAAGTACAGTAGGCTTTTCGAACAAGCTTTTTAGACAGGTTGCAGCTGCTGAACGTATAATTGTGCATTTAGTGTTTCATTGCGTTTCTAAATGAATAATACTCCAAATATCCTACCAAACATAAATAAGTACGTTTTTTTTCTGTGAACCTCTCGGCTTCGAATTATTTGAGTAGATTTATCCTTGTTAATACCCTGCCTTTTATATTAGTTTATATTCCTGAAATGAGGTATTGTAACTATTTAAATCATTCGAACTGTTGTTCTCAGGCTTATTACCATATTTACGACGTTTCGTACGCTCCGTCCTTCTTCAGAAGATATACGTTGCAATTTCAAACTGAAGGCTTTATTTAGTCCATGGAGTTAGGTTGTTCTAATTCCACACGCCATGCCTTTTTTTAGATATATCAGTTTCAATTAATTCCCTTTAGTAACTCAACTCTCCAAGGTTATGTTCCATCTGCTGTGGCCAGGTATTGAACTCATAACTGTTTGGGCCAAGTCACTTTCTGGATTACTCAGCTAACACCTTTATCCACTGAGCCATGTGTCCTTATGCGTTGAACGTTATTACAGCTGAAACATATTACTGATTATGCTCACATATATGTTTTTCTTTTCTCCATAAGCATTCAACATGTATAGTATTTTCAACATGGAGGAATTCATGGTGTATTTCTGCTTCATACTAACTTTCATGCCAGACATGGTTTTGCCAAATTGCAATCGATAAGAAGGCTAAAATCTTACGGTTTATTTGGAGAAAGTTTCACATTCTACTGCCATACCACTAAAACCGCATATGACGTCATAGGCCAACAATGGGTTATTTGTGTAAAAGTTAAGCCATGCCACATCTACCTCTGAGATCATGAGGCAACATATTAAAATAAGAAGCAATATGGGTTAATGGTTGTAAGGCTAAACCTCTACTGCTATACCAACTCTACCTCTGAGATCATTGGGCCAAGATAATAAAAGAGGAAACAATATGGGTTATTGATGGTAAGGCTAAACCTCTACTACCATACCACTAACATCTGCCTCTAACATCATGGGCCAACAGGCGAAGCTGTTGTAGCTTTTGGAGCAAGCTGGGTTTTGCAGATTGAAGTTGCAAGACTCACACGCTACCGGTCTTGAAGAAGTTTAGAGAGTCCCTTCTACCCATCGATTGAATTGAAAGGCATTTGTCCTAAAATGTATGTAGAACAGAATCCCAAAAATTACCTCCTTAAGTCTAGGACTGATCTTTATTTATCTGCCATATTCTCGTAATGTTCACTTCTTACTTAATCTTCTTACTTAATCTTCACGCACATCACTCAGTAAAACTCTAACTTGACAGCTTCTTAGGCCTATACTAATTTCCATGCTACTCATCGCTCATATGATTCCACACTGAAATACGTGTATATTATAAAAAATACACTCATTTATAGTGAGGCATTACAGCCGACGTTTCTCGCTTTCGAAACAAAAATGATTTGACGTTGTTATTGAAAAATATCTGAATGTTTTTGTAATCATTCTTGTTAATATCAGGGGCATCGTCGCTTAGCAACGTCGCCAACTTGTTGCTAATATCGTGAAAAGCAATTTCATTCGGAGATTTATTTTTATTTATCTATATATGTATATTTTTTTTGTTTCTTTTTCCTGGAGAGCGATTGGCGCGCACGGACGTGCAATTAGGATGTACGCGGTTTTTTCGGTAACAAGTGGTGCGTGTCTGTCTGGTTGATTGTGATAAGAGATATTGAGTCACGGACAAACAAGATGAACATTAAATGGGGAGTGACAGAGAGAACAAGGGGAGAGAAATGTGAGAAGGAACGTAGGGGAAAGAGAGAAGAGTGGAAGGAAAGGAGATAGAAAAGTGAGGGTGGAAACAGAGAAAGTACGAGGGAGAGAACGGGTAGAGAAGAGGAAAGGAAAATTAACAATAGAGAAAAGAAAGAAAGAAAGAAGATAAATTAAGGCGAGGCTTCTTAGAGAAACGATCAGAACAAAGAAAAGATGAGAGAGAGAAAAGGCGAAGTAGTAGAAAGAAAGAAAGAAAGAAAGAAAGAAAGAAAGAAAGAAAGAAAAGAAAAGGAGAGGTTAGAAAAGTAAAAGAGGATTGAGAAAAATAAAACAAAGGATAGGAAAAGAAAGAAGACTGAAAGAAAAATAAAAAGGAAAGAGAGGGTGGAACCAGAGAAAAGAGGAGGGGCAGAATGGGTAAAGAATAGGAAAGGGAAATAATTAAGAAAGAAAGAAAGAAAGAAAATTAAGGAGACAAGAAAAACATCAAAATAAAAAGATTGGAAGATAAAGAAAGAAAGAACGAAAGAAAGAAATAAAGAAGCCAAAACGACGCTAGACTTCATAAAAAAAGGAAAGAGAGAAAAGCTAAAGTAGCATAGAAAAAGAAAGAAAGAAGAAAAGCTAAAGGAGATGTTAGAAAAATAAAAGAGGATTGGGAAAAAGAAAGCAATGGATAGGAAAAGAGAGATGCGTGAAAGAAGAATAAACTGAAGGAGGAAGAGAATGTACATTGAAGAGGAAAGAGAAATAAACAACAGTGAAAAGAAAGAAAGAAAGAAAGAGAGAAAGAAAGAAAGAAAGAAGGTAAAACAAGGCGAGACTTCTTAGAGAAACGATCAGAACAAGAAAAAGATGAAAGAGAGAAAAAAGAGAAAAAGAAAGAAAGACAAAACAAAGGGAGAAGTTAGAAAAGAAAAAGAGGATTTATAAAAAGAAAGCAAGAAAGAGAAATAGAATGAGATTAAACATGAAATCCAAATTCAATTCCATAGCATTTTCACTTCTGTTGGGGCAGACCTTACCTGACTGACCTCCACTACTTCTTATCTCTGGCCATAGTGGGTGATTTGGGACCGAGGTATCGGGTAGGAACGTCGTGCCATCTTACCTTGGCCGCCCACGCCCGTTTCCACTGCGTTGATGTCCACTCTATCAAAAATCTTGACCAAAAACTGAAACAAAAAAAAACTGAGATGAACTAAAAACAAGAAGGAATTAGTGAAAGATGTGAGAGAAAAAGAAAAAGCGACAAAGAAAGAAAGAAAGAAAGAAAGAAAGAAAGGAGTAGGATGAAAAAGAATGAAAGGAAAAAGAAAATGAATTTAAAAGAGAAATATGTTAAAGAAAGAAAGAAAGAAAGAAAGACGGGAGTACGAAAAAGTTAAGAGGGAAGGGAAGAAAAATAATGGCTGGGAAAGGGAGAGTGAGTGTAAAAATGAAAAATTTCTAGAAAATATAAGAGGCCCGTGAGAAAAAAGAAGAAATGAAAGCAAAAAAATAATAAAATCCATAAAGGAAACGAAAACATATAGAAGCAGAAGAAATGAAGAAATCGTTGCAAGAAGAACAACAACAAGAACAAGAAGAAAAAGAAGAAAGTGAAGGAATTGGTGGATGAAGAAGAAGAAGAACAACAACAACAAGGTGAAAGTATCTCTGCAAGAAGAAAAAGAAGAAGGTGAAGGAATGCATGCAAAAAGAAGAAAGAAAACAAAGGAATCTGTGCAAGAAGAAGATAGCGAAGGAATGGTTGAAAGAAGAAGAAAAAAATCGGTGCAAGAAGAAAAAGAAGAAGAAAAAGAAGAAGAAATAGAAGAAGAAGGAATTTGTGAAAGGAGAAGAAGAAAAAAAAGAAGAATGTAAGAGAGGGTTAGAAAGATTGAAAGGACAGAACAAAGAAGAAATGATTGGTATGGAAAATAGAGAAAACGGTTTGAGGAAAATAAATATATAGACATTCTCTGGAAGCTAACAGCGATATATTGAATGATATTTTCATTATTCTAAAATCTCTAACAGATAAATACTACCCGCATTTATGTCATCCAAAAAGTAATGTCCAAAATCTCATACAGATAACATGCTATCAGGTCATCCTCTAAGTAATATCAGAAAACTGAAAGCGATAGATTGTATGATATTTTGGTTCTTCTAAAATACCGAAAACTTAAGAATACATGCTATCATCATTATCCAACAAGTAGTGTCAGAATCATGATAGCGATATGTTGAATAATTTAACGGTTTCAAAATGCGTAGAGACAGAAAAAGAATTCATTAAATATATAGAAATTGAAAGGGGCGTGAGACAAGGATGGGTCTTCTCACCGGACTTATTCAACCTTTACAGTGAGGTGATCCTGAAATAATTAGAAGTCCTACCGGGATTTATTATTGTCATCTACAATATTAAAAATATAAGAAATGCAGATGACTAAGCAGACACAGAAAGGTAGTAAAGGAAAGCGAAAAAGAAAAGACTAACCATCAATTGTAAGAAGACAGAATGTATGACAGTCAACAAAAGGAACAGGCCAGGATGCGTGCTGTGTAGTGCAGACAACTAGGAAACGATTTCACAAAGCTGCGGTTCCTGGGAAGAAGCTGTTCGAGTAGAACTTACATCTTAAAAATGGAGTACGAAGGGAATGAGAGTGGTTCGTTACAATGTACGTGGCATAGCTGTGAGGATTAGAACTTGTGGAATTGAGTTCGTCTAAATATTTTCCATGGAAATAACGATAGAGCAGCAAGCGACATGCAACGTTTCGTCTCTGAGAAAAGGAATGCAGGGTGAAAAATAATCTGTGATGCATAAGAAAGCTAGGGCACTTTTAGACTCAGTCAGAGACTAGAAAGTGAAGACTGGGCAGAGATACTGTCCTTATATGTCAGCAATGCTCCATTTTCGGTCCGATCTGGCTCTTGTAAAGGTAAAGGATACCCAGGGGGATCACGTACTTACTGGACCGATACAGGAAACCGACCATTTTTCCAGCATCTTTAGTGGCAGCTCATATCTACGAGTTCTGCTTGAGGTTTGGGTTGACTTTACCCACTGTGCCATGTGTCCTTGAGGACATCAGTGTATGAATTTCGAGGTATTATAAACCTAATGTCTTCAGTAACCATTTTTTACCATTACTTATGCTGTTATCATTGCATATTTTTACCAGAGTTCATTTTGCAATTTTTGTTGTTATTATCGTTTTCTCTGGCACTACTTATTACTGGTTCCCATATTGTATTCATTTCTATGCTTGGTCGGCTCAGCAGATTTTTGTGGCCTAGCATATGTGATGATTCCTTAAGTTTACGAATTTTCCAATGGTGGATAAAGGCATTAGTTAGATCCAGTGACAGGACCCAAAGAGTGTGAGTTCAATACTCGGTTAAGACAGGGGAGAACTTTCAGTGGGGAATAACTGGAGATAACTGATAACTGACATCCATTAAATGTGGCACGTGGAACTAGAACTGTCTACCCTAGTGAGCGAAATAAAGGGTTCAGATCGACATTCCAACTTTCTGAAGAAGGCCGTAGCGAACAACGGCCGAAACATTGTAATAAATATAGGGACAAAGATGAGGACAATAGTCCGAATAATGTAAATAGTGTACAGTTTTCTACCATTGAGCTGTTCGAACTAAGTCATAAGAGAGATCAGCTGTCAATCTCTGGTCGTCTCGAGTTTTGGAGTTTGATCCATATATCGTTGTATCATCGTCATAGATATTCACAAATGATTTCAGTATACTCTTCTGCAGATCATTTATGTAATATAGAAAGAAGGTTGGACTGAGAAGTGAATCGTGGGAGATGCCTACTTTGATCGCTCGGGTCACGGAGGACTGGCTGTTAACAACGATCGAACCCGTTAGGAAGAACATAATTGTTCCAGTGACGCCATACCTAGAGAACCTGTCCTGTAATCCTTTATGCAACATCTTATCAAAGATGACTTAATGATGAGCTTAAATCTGACATATCGTTGCGATTGTAGTATAAGATACCACCAAATCAAATAAGAAAAACGAAACGAATTAATGGACAAACGAATATATATATAAATATTTACCTTACCATTTAAGCATTAATAATAATCATGAATTAAGTAAATAATTTAAATACACCTAAATTCAAGAAAGCCCTAAAACACTTTGTCTGCAAAACAAGATGACGAATTTCTGCGTTTGTCTCTGACACTCGAAGTTAAGAAAGAGAATAAAAAAGGATAAAACCAATAAGGAGAGAGAAGAAAGAGATTAGAAAAACGAAAAGAAAATGCAGAGTAACAGAAAGCAAAAATAACCCCAACATTCTTACACACACACATATACATGTACACACTCCAAAAAAGAAAAAAAAAGAAAGAAAAATCAACGTTGCACCAATGAAAAGTGCATAAGTTGTTTCTTAACTCAATATAAAAGAAAAACAATAGAATATACAGTCAATTACTGCTAACTCCTGAGGAGTGGCTGGAGCGATTACTGGAGGGTCCGTCTACAAAACTCTAGAGTTGGAAAAAACATCAATAAGCTAAGTGACATATTTACATGCATTTCTGTTCATATGCAAATTCTGTTTACTAATATGGTTATTTTTAGCAATATTAAACTTTCTAGATTCTCATCCTATTTAAAGAGAATATATATATATATATATATATATATATATATATATATATATATGAGTGTTGACTTTAAATGTTCGCTTTTATATATATATATATATATATATATAATTTAACAAACTGATTTTGAATTTATTTTGACTATTTTGAATAGTTAAAAAAAAGTAAAACTTGGTTAAAATAGCTTCTAGTTCTTTCATTATATTTCTAAGTTAAAATAGTTTATTATTACTACATCTGGGGTGAAGCTGGTCAATTTCCATCCTTGACAATTTAAAATTGTTTGTTATTTTGTAAGGGAAGACATATTCTCCACTGTGCAACCTCTTTCACACAGATGCAATATTGCAAGCCTGTTACTACTCTATTGCTATTTCCATGACAAATCTTTGGATGAGCTCCATTTTTTTAGTTCCACTAGTTTAGACTTTTAGTGCTAGGACAAACCATGCTACTTCAACTGCCACCATTATTTCCTATGTGTTCCAAAGTACCTAAAAAGAAAACAATATGCTCAACAAAATCCATGGGAAGTTATAAACAAGGATAACCCCATGCAGTATTAAGAGGAAAAATTGTAAACTATGCTTGCAGGAAAAATTAATAATCATTTTCAAAAACCAAAATAACATCTTAAACATGAAAACTGAAATAATGAGGAAGTGTGGGCATATAAATAAATATTTACTTTGCAACCTAAGCTCTAATGAAAAATAAATAAATAAATATAGAAATGTAAAATAAACATAAAAGAAATAAATTTAAGCAAAAAGTAAAATGAACATAAAACAAAATAAATAAAATTAAATAAAGAAATTAACATAAAATAAATGATTAAATATAATAAATATATACGTGTATGTATGTGTATGTATGTGTGATATATATATATATATATATATATATATATATATATATATATATATACAGACACGCAAAGAACAACAGATGTAACCTTCCATAATTAATACCTTAATGTTTAAGAGAACACCATGACAAAAAACAAATACATAGTCGTTACTAAAGAAAAATGAACCGATATATGATAGCATATAAACAAATATTTACTTTACAACCTAAACGTTAATTAAATATATCTGTCTCGTGTGCGTGCATGCGAATATCTGCATATACATATGTGTGGACGTGAGTGCATGTGTGTCGAAGTGTGTGTATGTGTGTACTGCATATTATGTAACTTATATGCATATATTCAAATAACAAAGAAAATGCACCTATATAACTAAACACCCATAATTAATATTTGAACTACCACTAAGCCAGCTTAAAAACACTTTGCCATTTAAGCATGAATTAATATATCAATATAAAAACACCATTGGAAATGTGTATATATCTATATAACGTCATCCACAGACAGACTGTTTCGCAGCTCATCGTTGCCTCTAGCTAGAATCGAAACCCGACTCGAATTGATGTCAGTCGGAGATTCTAACCATTAAGCCGTCGGTGCACGGTAGGGATGAAAGTGGATTTTTTAGCGTATTTATTTTTAGAAACACGCCCATTGACCGACAGTGACTCAATTCTCATCTGCGAAGAGTTTCGCTATATAGCTATAATAGTCACTGTTTACCAACCCACACCTCGTCCTCAGAGAGCTCAACTGAAATTGATATTTCAGGAGCCAATATAACGTCATCCACAGACAGACTGTTTCGCTGTTTCACAGCTCATCAGTAGGCAACATATTTTCATTTAAACAGGTTTGCTTAAATAATATAGACATATGTTGATTAGTTTTCGATTTGATTCGTAGTTGATTCGTTGTGTTTGCAGATTAATTTTTTGGGTAGACTTAGAAAATTGAGTAAGAAAAATACCAAAATTGTCTTTCGAATAGTTTTTATTTTCCCAAGTACTTTACATCTCATCTGAGACCGTCTTCAGGTGGCTAAGTTGCCTGTGAGTATGTTCATGTGCTTCTGTAAATTTAAAACATTTCAACACTTCGTTTTTTTTACGGCTTATGCAGCCGTTCTAGATTTCAATGTCCAAAGTTCACGTTTTCATTTGGGGATTTTTCTTAATCAATTTTCTAAGTCTACCAAAAAATTAATCCGTGAGTTGAAAGAATCACAACGAAAATTATTCGATATGATATGCCTAAATTATTTAACCAAATCTGTTTGAATGGAAATATATTGCCTAAATATGCATAACACACACACACACACACACACACACACACACATATATATATATATATATATATATATATATATATATATATATATATATATATATATAAATGCGTGTCTGTGTGCGTGAATGTATAAATGTATGTATAAGCATACATA